AATTGTGGGTTTTGAATAGCTCCACAGTAAGAAAGATCGTATAACAAACTCTCTCTATGGTCCATATTTTCACTTTTTTCCTAGTTTTTTTTTGTTCGTTCCTACAGTTTTCATCACTGCTGTTGAGAGTGTTAGTTTTGATGGTGTCATAATGACTCGGTTTCATTCTCATATTCTACAAACGGGGTTGGAGATGTTTCTACTTTGCTTCTATGTCAATAAATGTCCATCTCGTTGGGATTGTTCCATTTTCATTTTCCTCTTCTTACTTTTCAATAGCTTTTTTACTGAAGCAAATTTCGTCGCCGTTAACTTCCGTAGTGCCTTCATGTTGGCGGAGGTGGAGTGTTGCAAGTCCATCTAATCAATAATGTTGTCGGAAGTATTTTTTTTTGTTTTGTTACTAGTAATTGCCATTATGCAGTACTGCAATCAAAGCCGATATTGTTGCGAAGAGTGTGTGATAGATGTTGGAACGAGAGCCACGTGCTCTGTGTAATAATGGTCATTGCTGGCCTGACACATCAGACGCTGGACATTTCACTGCAACAAATTTCACTGCGAAGAGCTTAGATTCAGACGAACACTGACGTTCTAGTTGAAATTGGAATCGATACGGATTCCGGAACGGAAACGCATGTGAAAATACTCAAAGTTTCTTTTTTATGATGATTACTGGAATTCTGAAGGAGTTTATCAGTGTATTAAACTTGAAGACGACGTTATCCTTCTTGTAAAGGTGGAAGAACTAACGGCTGAGCGCTTTTAATTCTGGAAGATAATGGAAAATTTATTAGGAGGTAAGCACATGCTAAGTATTGTTGGTAATATTTTTGATATTGGGTTAGTGTTTGTAGCTTGAACATTATCCAGCTGCCACGAGCTGCAAACTCATGACTTATTGATTAGGATGCTTTTGTTTGGTTTTCTTTTCTTTCTCTTTTTTTTTCTTTGCTAAATCTCCTCTACTTGGAAATGTAGCATCTGTGAATGTGTTAATGCTTTAAGCATCTCTGTCGGTTACCTATAATTCAGTAAAATTTCTTTTCTATTAAATACGTGAGTTGCTAAGTGTTTAGAGAAACGTGCACCGTCTTACCACTCATAAATCATTTGTGATGTAATGTTTTTTTTTCTGGTAGGAAGCTGTTTTCACTTCGTTTTACATCATTTTTAACGAAATATGCACATCTAGTACACTGGTTAAAGGTTCCAGACAATAGAAACAGAGTTGTTGGTTTGATCTCAAAAACTAGGTCTAATATGCCCCACATCTCTCTGGAGTCGGCAAATTGATACAAGGCCTACATGGGAGGGTAAATCTGGTGAATCGATATATCTGTAGGTCACCGTAAGGCATTGTATGGATCAGATATGTATTCGATCACCTTCATGATGCATAGTGTACTCGAATGCACGCTACGTAACCCTGAGGGATTGGTCAGTACAGAAAGCTTCATCCTCTGTCGTGTAGTAACAATATTGAGGAGGCCATTCCTAAACTTCGGTCCTATATAAACACTTCTTAGCCAGTTTTTTCTGGATCTATGGAAATTCGTATGTTAGATGAGAAATGAAGTACTAATGTAATATGGCAGTAATATTAGTAATAGTGATAGTAAATTTCTCTGGCTGAGTACTATCCGTCTAAATGACTCATCACTATCATGTCAATCCACTCAATCATTCTCTGCGAACCTCAGTGGACCGGACGATTGACAGTGTGTAATTTAATGAAGTCTGTTGTCCTTTATGATTGGCGAGGTCAATCTAAAGACTATTATCACTCTAACCAGAAACTTATCCTTTTTTTACTTTTCCTAGTGAAAGCATTTGAAGTTGGAGTAATATAGGCGTTTCCTTATCATCAGTGTTCAAGCAAAAGTTTCTCACATTTTTCTGCATTGGAGCGAGGATCATGATTTCATCGTCCGAAATAAAGTGAATAGAATGAGCTTCTGTCACTTTGTTACGGAAATAATGAATAGTATGTTCCTTAAAAATCGCAATGACAGCAGCTATTGGAATGTACGAAAATGTTTGGCAAAGCTGTTAGATAAGCGGCCAAAGGAAGAGCTGCATAGGGATTCGACCTTACCAATACCTCTATCTCCTGTGCTGATTCCAGCATTGGTTTGGAATATGTGCAAATTTTCGAGGAGGAGAAGAGGAGGAGGAGGAGGAGGAGCGGGAGATGGGGTTGATTTATTAGGGGGTAGTTCTGAGTTTTACGATTTTGAGCACCCTACTTTGGTTATTTTTAACAATCCAGTGAGTGTCAGCGAGTTATTTCAGTTTGTTTAACTGTTTTTATAGCAATTATATCTAGTAGAGTACGTAGATTCCAAACAAAGGAAACGAATCGAATGTGAGAATGGCTGGGATCCGGGCAGTTGATGTGAACACGAGTCGTATAAATAAGAAATTATTCTTTAACTGCTATAAATCATTTGTTGTTTGTGCGAAATCGTTGAAAGTTGATCAAGATATGTCAGAGTTTACCATCAGATTTTGATCGGCCGGTTCAGTACCTATAACACTAGTTTCCGACTTTTCCAACCTGTTACTGATTTTTTTCCCCAAATTTCCTTTGAAGGAGGCCCAACATAGTTCGTTGATAATGAAAAATGAACTGGAATGTTCTATGAAGAGGTATATAAGGAATTACATATGAGTCTTTTGGGAGTTAGATACATAAAGAATTGCCGCCTACGAGAAACCTTGCTGTCTTGTGTCATTTCTTATCGACAATAAATAACATCCATTCTTTATCACGGTTTCACCTGGCTAATAAAAGTTGATTTTTTGAACAAAGTAAAGCATTCTCTGTTGAGAATTGAGACTATATGCTGGTTGGTTCAGTCATTTCTGGCTTCTGAGTTTTATAGCAATCGTTAAGGCGGTGTTCCCAGTTCTCAATCATTTGTATTCATGCCTTTTTTTCTAAGCGTCGATGTCAAAGACTGGTGTTCGCATAATTTGCATGGATTGTTAGAAAGTGTATGCCGACAGAAGGTTCTCGAGTAGGAGATTAGAGGAGAAAGACAGAAGGGATTTGTTTGAGATTACTCAAATCGTGGCCGGCCCCAACCACTTGTACGGGGGCAATGGAGATAGCGAGCGAGGTTAACGGGATTGAGTGCAGAGAGTACACCACTTGTTGAAAAAGAGCAACAACATATATTTGGGTCACCCCACATCCATATATAGTAGCCCTTTGTCTGTGGTGGTGGCGAAATTGACCTTTAATTGTTGTGTGTAGCGCAGAATGGATGATTACAAGGCTATTCGTCTACGAGTATAGCATTTTACTTTGTAAAAAGAAATGCTAATGGGGATTACGGGGAGAGAGGACTGAGCACTTTTTTCTCTGTTGAAAAATTGAGAGTCGGCAGTCGGATCATCATGATGAATCGAGTAAATTATTCTAGTTGACAATCGAGAACTAGTGGATCATTTCACTTTTTATGCAGTAGCGTCTGGATTGTTTTATGGGGGTATAGGTCCAATAGTGTAAATCTTTTCTGGGCTTTAATTTTGCTCATTCTATCTTGATTTATTTAACATACTATAGGATATCTTGGCTTCTAACTTTACCCTTTTACCTTTACCGTTTAGATTGATGTCCCTGTTTCAGGTCGTAACGATAGCTGCTCAGCAATTCGACATAAGACAAATTCTCACGCGAAGGCACTAGCTGTCTACGATAAGTCTTCGCAGTTGATCGAATGTACGAGTCTTTTTCAGGTAGGTAATCACACTGTTAAGATTGAGCTGACACCTTTATCTCATTGAGATCGTAACCTAATCATGTCCTTTACGATGTAGTGAATAGGAAACAACAGTGATGTTTGAACAGAAGTAGAAACAACAATGATTTCCAACGTTTTAGAGTCTGAAATGTTAGCGTGAGATTTGTAGATGTACGAATTTGGTCATTATAGAGCTTAGATCGTTCAGCTTATACGGAGTTGTACGAAATTTTTATTCGGCTAACCTCTCGACCTCATACACCTTCTTTAAACCCCCGATGATTCGAGTTGATTGCCCACGTTCGTCCTTACGATGTGGATCTTCGTAGTCGAATCCAGTAGAGTCGTCTGGAATGAAGCAACGCTCGAATATTCCATACAAAACTGCTGTGACTCTGAAGAAGAGAAAGACACCGAAACGTTAGCCGAACAGAAATTTCGCGGTAACCTCGTGTAAGCTGAACAGTCTAAAGATGTATAAGTTATTCATGCCAAGGTTAAATGAAAAGTCCGTTCAAAAAATTGGTACGAATTTAATTCTTTTCCTGGCTCTTGAAGGGTTCCGTCTTTCTTACGTGGTTCTTTTGCTGATTCACAGGTTTTTTCTTTCAGTTACTTCACCAAAGTTGTCTATAGTATTGTATTGTATTTTTGTTGGTGAACTGCTTTCGATGCTGATATCGAGCACTAGGTATCTTCTTGTGTCTTGTGGAGTGCTTTAGCAGTTCTTCCATTCATTTCACTGTTTTGCGTCTTTCATCCATGGAGTTTGCCGAGTTCGTTGTCTGGATTTGGTTGCAGTTTCATCATCTCTCCTCATTCAAGTGATTAATAACATATGAGCTTCCTGTGTACTACAATCCCGAGATATCCACGCTGAGCAGTTCCTAGGTTTTCACTTCATCCAATTGCTGGGTCTATATATCGCCGGGAGTATTGCTGCCCTTTGACTAGGATTACTTGAATAAATCTAGCGATTCCTGTGGGTTGGCGACTATAAAATCGGTGATGACGTAACAAGTCAAATTCATGATCGATATATTATCAGTTCCAAAAATGATTTCAGGCATATAAAATTTGTTAGTTGATTGTTAATAGCTGCTATATCGGGAAGTTCGGCGTTTTTAAGCTTATTTCTACGCTTTCTTAGATCTAGCTTTCTCTCTCTAACGTTCTTAATTCCAGGGCAGATGTCGTCTTAGGAATCTCCACAATATCAGTGATGTACAGGTCGAATCTCCTGAGCCGATGATTGCTAATGATGCCACATCGTCTGCAGTAGTCTTTGTCGGTACTGGACCATCTGGTAATCCGGTGTTGTACGTGGGGACTACCTTTGTCAGGGGACCAGTGAGTATAATGGTCATTAAGGCTATACGCAAGAAAAATGCATGTCTGTTTTACTCGAAAGACCATTTATAATGTTTAAGCTGTTTCGTGATGATATTCCGGCGATAACGTCATTGCGGTTATCACGTGGTCGTGATGGAGAAGCGAAGGAGTTTGAACTTGCAGACAGAGGGCTAGCAACCGGAACGGAAATTAGCCTCGAGCGAAAATTTCGGAGCAGTTATAGGTGTGTGATCGTGAATTGGCATAGTTTAAGAGGGCAGTGTTTATTTGTACGTGAAACAGTTTTGTCATTGATTGGAATTGAGATATTTTCCATCTGTGAGTTTTATAGAGTATTATGGTACAATAATGGAAGAGTTGTATGGGTTCAAAAACTGGAGGAAACCGGATAGAAACCGTTTAGAGTGAGAAAATAAGGACAAGGCAGAAGAAATTATTTAGGATCGACTATGTCGGAGGATTTGAGTCTGGGAAGTATGCATATTTCGCTACAAGACAAGGTAAAACACTTGGTGAAGATGCGCCAATACAATCGCGTCTTGTTCGAGTTTGCACTGGAGATGCACACTTTTATAGTTATACCGAGGTAGAGTTTGAGACATTTTTAGACTTTTGGAGCCGTTTTTTAAGGCACATGTGTAGCGCAGTGATCGTAGGTGCCCTGCAGCATACATAGGATCGTTCCCCGCGCCCCAAGCTCACCAAGCCTTGCATTCCCGGAGTCGGCAAATTGGTACCAGACATGTCTGGAGGATATCATTGGCTCAATACATCGGTAGGCCACCGCGAGTCATTGTAAAGCCCAGATATACATTCAATCACTTCCAAACGATGCTTAATGGAGTCGAATGCATGGCGCATCTATCGGATTGATCAACGCCGAGAGCGTTTATCCTCTCATCTTTTATGTCCTGTGTTTTGAAGTATTTCTTTGCTTAGAATATTTTGTGTTGTGAGCGTCAGAGGCTTCTGTGCTGACGTTTAAAGGTGTTCCCTTGGAAATATGTGTGGGCAAGCTTTTATCTTTTATCAATAGCTTGTACTGATAAGTGAAAAAATACACTGGTGCAATCTAATCGGTTTTAGTTTATCTTTCAAATTCACTGCAGGTGATGTTGGAGTGCATGAAAGACGATTTCGATTACAATCTGATACAAGATGTGTACGTGGCAACAGCAGGTTATAATCTTGCCAAATCTTTAGGAATAAGGTATAACGTTTTTCTGTCTTAGTGTCTCATTGTTAAGTTTATTATAACTTCGTGGATAATTTGCTCTCTTGCTCTTAATCTAATTTGTTATGAATTATTCCATTCTTGTGATTTAAGTGAAGGAGACGAAGTTCTGTATGCGGTATTCGTAGCTGATGAAATGGCATCATTTCAGCGGAACGTGGGTTGTTCTTACGACTGTCATTTGCATTTGACATTTGTTCGAACTTTTGCGTCAAATCGTTTGGCCTGTATTTCTTTCTCAGTCATTTTAGTGATCCAGCGATATCGTATGAAATAGTTCTAACATCCAATTTTTAGTTTATAACACGTCGTTCAGCGCTTTGTGTGTATCCTATACAAAAACATGTAGAAAAGAAGTTTGAGGAGAACATAATGGACTGTTATAAAGGATTCTACACAAAGGTGACCTTAAGATTATGTAGATCGATTCTTTCCAACCATACACAATATGTGGGGAATTTTATGCTCTTTGAATTTAGCAACTTCCATGGTTCAAATCTACAGCTGAATGTAAGCCAACACATTTGTCATGGAAAGATGTGGAGTGTGGTCAGGATGTGAACACTAATATTGGTAATATGTCTTATGATTTTCGTTGGCAGTAAGATATGTCAGGTCCTTCCTCTAGCCTGTTAGAATTATGCGTACATAAGGTTTGTAAGGTAAAGAGGGGCTCGTGTAGTCCAGTCGTTGGACGCGTCCTATAATGCACAGGGGATCTATCTCCGCGTCCCAGGCTCACCAAGTCCGCCTAATCCCTCCGGTGTCGGTGAATTGGTACTAGAATTTTCTGGGAAGACAACAGTACTGGCTCTTTACATCGGTAGGCCACCCAGAGTCATAATAAAGGGCAGATATGAATTCAGTCACCTCCAACGATACATAATGAGGTCGAATGCATGACGCATCCCCAGGGGTTTACCAATGCCTAGAGCTTTTAGAGTTTTTAAGGTTACATTGTTAAGGTTTTGTCAGTTTAAATGTGAGTTCGTTTGAAAACTATAGTAATAGCTGTATTCAAAATATAGGAGGGAAAGAATAGTTTGTTTGCAATATGTGAATTTGTACGGAGATTTACCCATATTGTGGAATTCGTTTTATTTTTTACTTGTCTGCCGTTGTTGGAAATATTGGCAACGATATTATGCTCAAATTTCTAACCCCCTTAACTTGTTTTTGTCTTGATATTTTCACGACAATCGGAATTTATGGTTCGATTTCTTAATTTGGGATTGAATGTATCTTAAAATTGAATTCATGGTTATGTTTTGTAGCACTATTGAGGATCTTCGCAAGGGAAAAACTTGCGAAATTTCCTTATCGATTGGTGACGTTTATGTACGTAAAATTTGAAAAGTTAGGGATTTCAACGTTGATCAGTCTTTGAGGGTTTCTCCAAATATTGGACTTCGTTAAGAATAGTACAGATAATTGAATGTCTGTTTCGTTTGTAGTCTGACCCGCGCGGCTCGTTTACGTATCGAATCTGTGTTTTTATCCTTTTAAACAAATCTGGTTCCAATTTGCAGGCGTCAGAGACAGAGGGTTTGGTTTTGCCTAGGCGCAGGATTAAATTAACGACCACGTGTAAATTGCAGGGCAGCTTTAGTCATTGATTGCAGACTTCCATTTGTATATATTATATCTTCTTAAGGTGGTGGCAAACCGATATCTGCTGTGCCAGTACTCACAGTCGACGGCGCTTATTTCACGGCAATCGCAGTGAATACTACCAGAGGAGCCACCGTTGCATTTATAGGTACAGATGATGGGCGCATACTTAAGGTAAGGTCCCCATGGGCGATATTTGATGTGGTGATCGTACTTAAATTTTTCTACAACTATAGTATTATATCCAGTTTTATACCGAAGCCACTTTACTCTGCTATTAAAAACGCTTGCCCACTTTTTCCGTTAACACATTCATGGTCTTGCTGGTTATTCGACAGCTGCTTAGAACTCGATATTGGGAGTGCTTGAGCAGTTGACAGCGTAAAAGACCTATAGAAGGAACTTCTTCCTATTTCTGTAGTGGCATGCACGGTGTTTCCAACACAGTTCTGTTCGATATTTGTTCAAAACTATGGTTATAAATTGCTGAAACAACAGTTAAAAGAAGTTTTACGCTTAGGCGGCAACTGTCAACGGCTTACATCAGTGACGTATTCGGGAAAAGAACTTCTAATGAAGGATTTTTACCACTTTTATTTTACTTGGTACCACTCACCATAGACCAAGATGCTTGTTTAGAAGTTGGAATTGGATTAATTACAGCCACACATAAGTGATATTTAACCCTAGTGCCCATAAGCGTGGTCGAGGGGACTAGAATCTCTCTTTGAAAGGTCTTCTGGATTCATAGCGCCAACTCCACCATTTCCATTTATTTGGTCAACTTTAACTCTTTGACTGCTTATACCATTTCTATTCCAATTTCAACCTTTTCTTCCGAGGTCATGTACGATGTCATAATGGTGGATATCGTTATTATCGCGAAAACTACCCACCAGTACACGAAGGATGTAGAGGTGGTAGTATGGGAGACTGGTGTCGTTCCAAAATTGTTTCTAGAGAAAACATAACTTTAAATGGAACCTGGCATTGTGAACGTGTTTAATTGCTTCGAGATCGTGGTACGATTGGCTTGATTTATGCATGAAGGAGCGTTTAGTTCGATGTGTGCTACTTTGCACGTCGTAAGAGACTTGTCCTTTAGTAACTCATACTCGGAAACATTCATAGGATGGAATTAATGAATAACAATAGTTTAATTACTTTGCTATTACTTTATATCTCCGACAATTTCGTCGTTTGTTTTTCCTTATTAGTGTACAGAATTTACCGTTTCTTGTGATGAGCAGACACAAGGTTCTTATCATCCTATTTATTCGTAGTAGCGGACCGTCCGCTGGTCAAATCTCCTACAAAGCCCAGAACGGTCAAATTGATACGCAATCTTTTCAGTCAAACACTTTTATAACATCAACAGAAAGAGCTTGATGCTCAAATTTTCATTTTCATAGTAAACGGCTTCTTTTAAGCATTCGATGTTTTCAAAAACCGACTTTCCTTGAACCTCGGTTTGAATAACCAAATGTGTAACTTCATTGATAAGCTAACACGAAGGTGATAAATGATTTTATTTGGTTATCGTTTCGACATCTTCGTTTTCGTCGATGATCAGAGTCGATGACCACAGTAATGCGTACTCTCGATGTTGTGTCTTCGTTGAGGAAGACCAATAGGTCGAAATGTTAGCCGAATCAAGTTATTTATCAATTTTGTGTTAGTTTATCATTGAAAGCATACTCACAGTTTTGTTCACCACAAGTCTTCCACTTATTGTTGGAGACCACGCCAGGTCACGCGTGATAGTGAGGCATTCGTCCTTCCGGTTCATCTTTGGATTTCTGAAATTTATCCAAAACGCCTCAAGAGTTTTGCGCGTTGATGTTTTTGATTCCTGCGCTAGGATCCGCACATTCACTTCAAAATCATCGCCGTTGTGCTTTTGTGTCCTATGCGTACCTAGAGGGGTGTTTAAACGGATTTTAGCTTTTCCATTTAGATGTTTTTTTTATGCGGCCACAAAGTGGCCTACCCGTTTCTCCAATATATTCCTCTCCGCATGCGTTACATGAGATCAAGTATATTATACCTAAACTCATGCAATCCCCGTCTCTCCCGTTAGAACAGATCATACAGTTTTCTGAACTGCACAAACGATCATAAAGACGGTTTCGAACTAACTGACGGCGTAGGGTATTGGTTGGTTATGTCAATAATCGCTACATAATTTTCAAGACCAGTTTTTCTTAAGCACCTCTTAATGGCG